GAAGATTGAGTCTTTGTTACTGGGTCAAGCTTGACTGCCTCCCCCTTTCCTCAGACAGCATCCTCTCCAGGAAATTTCCTCTATCCTGTGCCCTTTATGCAATGAGGGAGCATCCCTCATTGAAATCCTACAGGATTTCTAATATGACCAGGCATGTCTGTATCCAAGGTGTTTGACTTAGGCAAGACCCAGCTATAACAATATTTATGGTACTCTCACCTGTCCTATAATCAACACCATTAGCTTCAACCCTTCCTGACATGACAAAATTGGTTAGTAGAGCAACTCTTTGCTTACTGAACTCTTTATTAACTCCAATTTTTGTCAAATAATGAGTACCCAAATATTTAATTTGTTATTAAAAAAAAACTAATACTAACATAGAAGTCTCCCACGTGAATATGTTCAATGGACACTATGTGATATACTCAGACAAAGAAATATTCAGATGATTTTCCAGGTAAGTGCTTTTATGGAAGCTGATACTTATTATGCAACTTTAGGGAAAAATACAATAAAACCTTATTATGAGTTGCCTTCCTATACCAGTAATCCAATTATGCTGTGGGACAAAATTGTATTTCTGTGTTAAAATGAAATATACTTTATTTCTCCTTCTATGATATAGAAAATATATCTAGTTATTTTCCTTGGGAAAAGTGACTTAATGGTGACGAATCACACTTGACTACCTTAAAATTAACTCCTGATACATTGCATTATTTTTAAATATGTGAAATAAGAGCAAAAACCTATTTTTTTATTAAAAACTCCAATTTCCTATTACTGCGTTAATGTGCAAAGCAAGAGCAGTATATGTATTATAATTACATCTTTTTCTCTCTAGATTCCTAGCAGAGGATATGCTAAATTTTAGAAGCTCAAACAGAAAGAGTTTCTAAACCTTTCAATAGGTTTAGAGCTGCAAAGATGAAATGCACGAGTGAATATACAAAGAGACAATACTCAGGGTCATTCTTGGGTTTTGTCTCCAGAGAGTCCCTTCCAATGGCACCAAAAAGGTTTGTGGAAGGCAGTCCTCTGCACACAGCAGCAGGGTGACTTGTCTGTGACAGTGGAATCTTGGACATAGTGTGCTGCCAAAGTTCAAAGAACACAGAAAGAGGACTGTACAATGGCTTATGTTCTAAGAAAGAATGCTCTGCTACGTACAAATGTGGACTGAAGAGAAAATGGCATTTTAGCAATTTTATGAAAATGGAAAGTATTTAGTAAACGGATCCTGTGTTCTTCTCAGGGTCAGCTAATGTGACTCCAGAATCCATTCTGCTCAGTAAAACATGCATAAAGAAGTTATATTTTGTGTAAATGTACTTCACAGTATGATTAGAGTTCTTTCAAGGAGATACCTTATTGAATAGGTTTTTCAACTTTACATGTTCACATTCTTGAAAGACTAATGGATCCTTCATTAAAGAGATCACAGCTTTTCAAGTGTCATGCTTGAAGACACACAATGAATTGGTCATTAAGGAAATTCAGCCACGCAGAAAGGACAGGAGAACAACTGGTTGACTCTTCTAATGACTCAGACAATGCTGGCAAAGCTGCTTTCACTCACAGTCTGGTTTATAGTTGCGGAACAAGCAATAATTTTTTTCAGACATAACAAATAGGTGAAAGAATCAACCACCTCAGGGGCAAGTGTCTACTTTCTGGAAGGACAGTTTGTATACTGGCGTTTTTCATCAAAACAGATCAATTCACATGGGGCTACTGTCCCAACCTATTTCTTTTGGCCATAAAATGTTATGCATCTCAGACATAAGTCAAAGTAAGCATACTTAGGTAACTAATTACTTTCTCATTAGGTCATATGCATTCAAGAGAGCACACCTTTAAGATTATTATGATATTTTTGAAATAGAAATACATGTTTCACTGTCTTCATTGCTTCATGTACATTTGTTTACTGTAGACTGAGTCAGTATTGGCTTTCTTGCTGGCGATGAAATTTTATGCTTGCCCATTGTGCCCAGTTAATCAGGCCTTAGTATGAAGCTCTCAGGAATGACTGGATCTGAGATTCCTTAATCTGAGATTGTCTAAATATTTAAACTCAAGTTTTTTCTATGTCTGGCTGAAAGGTGGACAAGAATTAGGGAGGAAACCCAATCTCTGGCAGCAACTTCGCAATCCTCTGCCCCTTCGAAACTGTCAGAAGGAAAAAGATTCTGGTGAAGGCTGTTCTTTCAAGGATAAACTGACAATTTGTGAAGCCTATGTAAAAGCGCTCTGGCAACTTCTCGATTAATTTTGAGATCTTTTTTTTTTTTCACCTTGTGGTGCTTCAAGGCCAAATGAGCCTTCAAGGAGGTCATAGGAATATAAGAACATAAGAAATGCCATAATAGGTCAAATTAATGAGCCAGTTAGTGTGATAGGCTGTCTCTGAGAGTGGCAACAAGGTACATTTTGTGCATATTGTCAACTTCGAAATATCTGAGGCTATAAGCAGGACTGTTTCTTTGATCAGGTATCTATTTCAAAGGTCCATGATTTCCTTTATTAATGTGTACCACATCTTTACACATAAATTCATTTAAACCCTTCTGATGATATTTTAAATCATGTACTACTTTTTATGTAATGAGTTTTATAAATCCATTACATCTAATTTTGCCTAAACTGCTTTTTTCACATTTTCAAGAGTTTCCCAGTTGGAGCTGATAGACCATTAAGTGTGGCTATGTGCACTTTGTGTAACTGAGGTCTCTGTATTGAGTTGATTAGATGTCTAAAGCCCACCAAACAGGTGGTGATGGACTGTCCATCTACAAGTCCTAGCACTTCCTGCCAGCTTTTTATTATTACTCCAGGGTCAATACGTTCTGTCTTGTACTCCACTTAAGTATTTCTATTAGTTAGTTCTTAGTGTTTAGGTGGCTGAAGACAGACACATATTTCTCACAGTTCTGGGGGCTGGGAAGACCCAGATCAAGGTATCAGCCCATTCAGTTCCTGGTGAAGGCCCTCTTCCTGGTTCACAAATGTCTGCCTTCTCATTGTGCCCTCACGTGGCAGAGAGAGGGAGAGAAAGGAAGGGAGAGAGTGAGAGGGAAGGAGAGAGTAAGAAAGCAGATGAGCCCACAGTCTGGCCTTTCTTCTTCTTCCTATAAGAGTACTAGTCTCATTATGGGGACCCCATTCTCTTGGCCTCTTCTAAACCTAATTACCTCTCAAAGGCCCCATCTCCAAATACCATCAACACAGTAGAGATTAGAGCTTCAACATATGCATTTGGGGGAAACATAAACATTCAGTCCTTAACAGTTAGCCAATTTCCTTCTTTTTACCAGAAAGAACTGATCAGGATTCTTCTCACAAAACAAATAAAAAAGCATTGTTTCTCAGGGCTTAACAACAGAAGCTTGACTGCCAAGGACACGGGGTGTGCAGCCGACATGGGTCCACGAGCAGCTGGGCTGTGGAGATGTATTTTTAATTGACAACAAAGAAATTAGCAATTCAAAAACCCATTGAAAAGGCAAGAATAAGGAACAAAAATTTGTATTATGCTGTTTTATCTACAACAATAAAATAACTTTGGTAGGAGATCTGTGTAGCATGTCCCCCATAAAAAAAAAAAAACAGCAAAACAAAATGACATTTTATCAGCTTGAAAGGAAGTGAGTGTTTGCTATAAAAAGGGAGGAGAGGCATCCTTGTCTCGGGTTGCAGAAGGTCCACATGAGGGTCTCTCAGCCCCTGCTAAACTGCCTTGTATCTTGTCCCATTGCTATAATAATTTTTGTTTGGTCGAGAAGAGAATGGCTTGATCTTAGAGCCGGAAGGGACAGGAGAGATTTTTTTTTCTTGTTTTATAGATAAAGAAACTGGAGCCCAGAGAGTTTAAATGGTTTTCTTGAAGCCACACAGCTGTTTTTTTTGGCGAAAATAGGTCTTAGATGTCAGTATGTCTGCCAGTAGGCAGAAGTAGAGAGCAAGGCTGCCCCTGCTCTGTGGTGTAGTTGGGACCTGTTCTTTCTTGGGACCTCTTAAGGTCACTACCAAGATAATGTCTTCTTTTCAATAAAACTTTCCTTTCTTTTAAACTCATACATCATATGCACTTATTTAGTGAGTAATTAAAAAGAAAAAGTAAAACAAATACACCTAAATCCTACCTTGATTTCTCAATTGACTGAGTAATCCAATAAATTATTTACTTTGGGATTACTTGGGTTAAACAGCATTCCCCGCATACTGTATGAGATGCCTTTGATTTTGAGCTTGTTTTAAATAAATAGTTCTATCAAAATAGAATGGCCTTAACTTTCAGCCCTGGGAATAAACAAATAGTTTCAATCAATGATGCTGAGACAACCGTTTAATATTTTTCAAGAGGGTAAGAAAAGAAATATTTTCATGCCTACAGCATTAAGTCAGAAATAGCCTTTGGCACATATTTAGCTTGGTCTTTTCAAAGGTTGTGGGAAAATATGGGGAAAAAAATATAAGCAAAATTAGCAAGGCTACCATGACAACAGCAAGTACTTAGAGGCAGAGCTAAAACTCTGGAAATCTCAGAGAGAAGGAGAGGAGGGTCCTCAGGATAGTTGGTCGGGAAAGAAGCATCAAGCATAAAAAGAATTACTGCTAAATGGGCAGATACTAGAACAGATATTTATCGTAATGGATTTCCCGTGGTGTGAAATTTTATCAACAGGGCACTGTTACCGGAGAGTAACATTTTATTTGCTTAAAATTATAAGTGTCTTCTATTGTATTGAACTCAATGTAGAGACATGGCCTGTCATTTGTTTTTGTTTAATGGACACTAGAAGCTACATGTTTGAGAGTAAGGAAAAAACATGGGGAGAACTCTTTTTAATTGAGTTCGCCAGAGTGGCTGAGACAGGGCTTAGGAGAGGGCTTTAGGCCTCCCAGTGCTTTCTATCACAGCATGATTTTATTTGTCTATTTACTTTGTAAACCTTAAACACATACACTTTTTCATTCAATCAACAAACATTTACCGGTAATTACTGTGTGCTGGCCTTCCACAGCTGTTGGGAATGCCGTGCCGAGCAGGAAAAATAGCATACGTTATATCCTGGTTGAGGGAAGCAAGAAAAGAGGCAATAAACAAATGAACCAATACATAAACAAGAAAATGTCTAGACAGGAAGACACAAAGTGCAAAGGCCTTGAGTCAGTAAAGAGTCTGGCACAGTCAAGAACAAGCTGAGGCAAGTCTACACAGCCCACCAGAGAAACTGGGTGTGTGATGAGGTTTGAGACACAGGAAGAGATCAGCCTATTGAAGGGGTGCAGTAGAAGTCCCGTTTTTGTCCCCTATCACCTATTTTTCATATATGTGTCAGAATGATCTAAAAACATAAATATTCTGTCATCAGGATTGTTGCAGTAGAGATAGATTCTTTATTCACAAGGAATATTGAATATAAAACTGATAAGACATGATAATTCATGGGTTGGATGTGGGATATGAAGAAATAGGAGTTAAAAAAGAAAAAAAAGAAAAAAAAAACTCCTAGAGTTTTGGCCCAAGGCAGTGAGTGAATGGTGATGCCACCATTTACTACATGAGCAAGACAGGGAGAACAGATTTGAGGGAAAACTGCCAGATAGATAATAACTTTGGGGCATCCAAAGTTATGTGTGTGAACAGTCACATACATAGTCCATAGCTCAGGGGAAAGATCAGAAATGGAGACATAAATTTGGATGCCATCAGCCTGTAGTTGACTATCCAAATGAAAGTCACCTAATGTTCAGAGAAGAAATAGCATCCATACTCTAGTCCTGGAACTCTTTGATATCAAAGAGGTCAAGGAATGGAAGAATCAACAAGAATCCTGAGAAGAAGATGTCACAATAAGATAATGGAAATAAGGTTCGTATGTGTTAAAGAAACCAAGAGAGAAGAGTATTTCCAAAAATATAATTGGCTGACTCAGATACCACTGAGGGGTTCAGTAAGAAGAAAACAGAAAGGTGTATGTTGGATTTGACCACTGGAAGGTCATTGGTGGTATTTAAGACTAATTTCTCTGCAGTGACAGGGATGGCTACAGTTTTGAAGAGATTGAATCATGAATGAGAGGTGAGAAAGGAAAAACAGTTGAGTATAGGTAACATTTGTTCAACAAAAGAACAGTTGTGCTCTGTAAGAAAATAGAAAGAAACTGGACACCTGCTGAAGTACAGGCATACCTCATTTTATTGCACTTTTCTTTATCACACTGTGTAGATATTGAGTTTTTTACAAAGTGAAGGGTTTTGGCATAACCCCATATCAAGCAAGTCTATTGTTGCCATTTTCCCAAGAGCATGGATTCACTTTGTGTCTCTGCATCACATTTCGGTAATTCTCACAATATTTCAAACTTTTGCATTATTCTTATATCTTTTATGGAGATCTGTGATCAGTGATCTTTGATGTTACTATTGTAATTTGGTTGGGGGGACATCACAGACCATGCCCATATTAGATGGCAAACTTAATACATGTTATGTGTGCTCCAATTGCTCCACCAAGCAGCCTTTCCTCATCTCTTTCACTCTCCTTGGGCTTCTCTATTTCCTGAGACATAACAATATTGAAATTAGGCCAGTTAATAACACTACAATGGCCTCCAAGCTTTCAAGTGAAAGAAAAAGTCTCATGTCTCTCATTTTAAATCCAAAGCTAAAAATGATTAAGCTTAGTGAGGAAGGCATGTCAAAAACCAAGATAGGTTGAAAGCTAGGTCTCTGTGCCAAACGGTCAGCCAAGCAGTGAATGCAAAGGAAAAGGTCTTGAAGAAAGTTAAAAATGCTATTTCAGTGAACACGTAAATGATAAGAAAGTAAAGCAGCCTTATTGCTAATATGGAAAAAGTTTTAGTGGTCTGGATAGAAGCTCAAACCAGCCACAACATTCCCTTAAGCCAAAGCCTAACCCAGAGAAAAGCCCTAATTCTCTTCAAGTCTATGAAGGCTGAAAGAGGTGACAGAGCTGCAGAAGCAAAGTTTAAAGTTAGCAGAGATTGATTCATGAGGTTTAAGGAAAAAATCTGTCTCTATTACATAAAAGTGCAAGGAAAAGCAGCAAGTGCTGATGTAGAAGCTATAGCAAGTTATCCAGAAGAGCTGGCTAAGATCATGATGAAGGTGGCTACATTAAACAACAGATTTTCTTTTCTTTTTTTTTTTTCTTTCTTTTTTTTTTTTTGAGACAGAGTCTTGCTTTGTTGCTCAGGCTAGAGTGAGTGCTGTGGCGTCAGCCTAGCTCACAGCAACCTCAAACTCCTGGGCTCAAGCAATCCTTCTGCCTCAGCCTCCCGAGTAGCTGGGACTGCAGGCATGTGCCACCTTACCTGGCTAATTTTTTCTATATATATTAGTTGGCCAATTAATTTCTTTCTATTTATAGTAGAGATGCGGTCTCGCTCTTGCTTAGGCTGGTTTCAAACTCCTGACCTCGAGCAATCCGCCCGCCTCTGCCTCCCAGAGTGCTAAGATTACAGGCATGAGCCACTGCACCCAGACAAACAACAGATTTTCATTGTAAACAAAACAACCTTATATTGGAGGAAAAAGAGGCCATCTAGGACTTATGTAACTAGAGAAAAGTCAATGCCTGACTTCAAACTTCACAGGACTTACTGACTCTCTTGTTAGGGGCTAATGTAACTAGTGACTTTTGACAATGCACTTGATCAACCAAGAGCTCAGATGGAGATGTATGAGGGTAATATTGTGTTCATGCCTGGTAATATAGCATCCATTCTACAGCCGATGGATCAAGAAGTAATTTTGACTTTCAAGTCTTATTATTTAAGAAAGACATTTCATAAAGCCATTGCTTTCATAGATAGTGATTCTGCTGATGAATCTGGGCAAAGCAAACTGAAAACCTTCTGGAAAGTATTTATCATTTAGATGCCATTGAAAATATTCATTATTCATAGGAGGAGGTTGAAGTAGCAACATTAACAGGAATTTGGAAGAACTTGATTCCGACCCTCACAGATGACTTTGAGGGGTTCAAGACTTCACTGAAGGAAATCACTGAAAATGTAGTAGAAATAGCAAGAGAACTATAATTCAAAGTGGAGCCTTAAGATATGGCTGAATTGCCGAAGCTCATGATAAAACTTGAACAGTTGAGTGGTTGCTTCTTATAGATGAACAAACAAAGTGGTTTCTTGAGATGGACTCTACTCCTGGTGAAGATGCTGTGAACCTTGTTGAAATGACAACAAGGGAATTAGAATATTCATAAACTTAGTTGATAAAACAGTGGAAGAGGTAGAGACAATTGACTTACGTGGGCTGCTGTATTAAAGGAAATCTTCTACAAAGCTGACCCTTCTCTGCCCACAAAGTGCTTATAGAATTCAAAGGTCATGTAACGACTTCTAAAACTGCCTTGGAAGTCCTGCATATGATTTAGCACCTGCTTTGGAATCTGCCATCTATTTTATCATGGTACTTAGCGGAAATTGCAAATTTAAATCTTGTTGCAGACTTTTTAAACACAGAGTAATACAGAGCGACTCATATGTTGATGAGAGTGATCTAGAGGCAAAAAGAGATTACCCAAGAAGGAAAGAGAGAAACTACAGAGAAAAGTACCTGGAGTAAAAAAGGGGGAACGGAACAGGAAGAGGGATGCGACTATGTGTATCTCAAGTATACCAGTATTCAAAGTTTCTAATGAAAAATTTTTAAATTTAAATGTGATTTCATCTCATTCATTTCATTGTAATGTAAATACAGGCGCTTGCATCTGTATAAACTAGTTAGCAGTGATACTTTCCTGTCTTTATGTCAACAACATTATGATGACAGAATGTTTCAAATATTTTAAAATATTATAAACATTTAATTGAATGTTTTAAAATAATCTTACTATGCTTCCTTTTACTGATAAATGTTTAAAAGCATCACAAAGTCTTCAAAGTTGTAGCAGAAAAACAAAATCAGTACAGATCCATAATTTCTTATCTGAAATTCCAAAATCCAAAGAGTTCTGAAAAACTTCAAGGTTTTTCATAAATTTTGGTGACAAAACCTAATGTAAACTGAGAAAAGGTTGCTTATGGTCTCTGTTTATCCTACTTAGTATGAATGTGGATATGTTTTCTGGAAAAATACTAATCTTTTGATCATGGAATTTTGCCCAAACCTTGCTGTTAACATTGCATAATATACAATATATGCACCATATTACCTTTCTAAAATTTAGAGGAGAATCTGAAATTAAAAGCATTTCTGGCCCCAAGAGTTTTGAATGAGAGATTATAAACTTTTTGTATAAACTAAAATGTAATATTTTTGTGGACTATGGATTTAAGGAAGCCCAAATTTACAGAATTTAGCATAAAGCAGAAACTGTGCCTTGAAGCAATAGTAGAAAGACCTTTTTGTAACCTTGTCTTACCTGTATCATCAGTAGCATGCAAAGACTCCAAGGAACAAATTAAAGCTAGATATAGTACACTGTCTCCAAAGAAAGCTGGGCTTTTTTGCTAGCTTCCTTATTTCATCTGGCTTACAACATTAAGCATGTTAATAACCAGAACACTCTTGGAAGTCATTTGATCAAGCCAGCCTTCAGATCCCTGGAGTTCATGCAGAACTGCACAGTAAATCTATTGTAGTAATTTGGAATATGCATTACAAATACAAAGGGAATCTACATTTAATCTATCTCTAAAAATCATATTTAAAAAATCATTGGAAAGGAGGATAAAGTTTATGGGGCATAAACCCATCCTCGTGGAATTTTGGCTGACCATCGAAATACCTTTTGATAACCACAAATCTGTTTTAATCTTTAAGAAGTTCTGCACTGGACCAAAAAGGGTTTTGAGAGCGATGGTGCTGAAACTTGTTGTGCAGTCAACCATTGTGTTTGGAGTCCCGCATCACTCACTGGGTTATCGCCCAAGGAAAATAATGCATTCAACCGCCTGAGAATCACAACCACATCAATGTCTCATTTCCCGAGTGTTAATTCTGACTCACAATTAAATTAGGGAGTAAACATAGACGTGTGTAAATACTAGATAATCTTTCTCAATCTATGTCATGGGGAACAAAAATATTTTAAAACCTTTTAAGGACAAATAACTTATTAAAGGAGCTGAAAATGTATATGTTGCAAGTCAGCACTGCTTTGTTCATTCCTCTGGAAGCTTGACTGTGATGAAACGGGATACGTTTTAAAAATAAGAGTCAATAATTAAAATGTAGTTTTGTTCAGAGATTAATAAAATTTCTAAATTTTATTAGAACTCAAGTCTATGCATCCCGGGTATAGTGGTCATACTCACTTCTAAAATATTGTAAGTTCAGAGAATAAACAATAAGCTTAATAGAAAGCTACAACATAGGTGCTAATTATATTCCCCAAAAAACAGTGTCATAAAGAGAGCTTTCCATAAGAATGTTCCTTTGATTCCTATATCTCTAGAGTATCTAAAAAATATTTTTTGTTAGGATGATTAATATTTGTTTAGCTTTTTTATATCAAGTTTTTTCTGCATGAATTTCTAGCAGTTATCATTACAGAGAAGAAGGAGAGGGAAGAGAAGAGGATGAAGAAAGTAAATGAGGTAAGAAACTTTCTCACTTGTATGCACTAGTCAACAGATATAAACTCTATTGACTGCTTTATCCTGACATGCTGGGGTTTTCTATTTTGGTTCCCTTAAGCTCATATTCTGTTTGTCTTTGTTATGTTGTTGTTTAGTCTATATTTTGCTTTTATTATAGGCCCTACACCTTCCTGAGAGTAGCATTTCATCCCATTTCTTGAATTTCTGGTATTCAGAATAAATAAGAGTAAATACCCAAAGAGGCTTAGCAAATAACTTACTAAGCATCCTTACCAAATATGGTTAAAGATAAACAAAAACTAGAAGTTCATCAAATGAGAGGACATGTAGTTGGCATTGAGTTTTAAACTCTCAAACTCTAATTCATTCCTTTTAAAAAAAGGTATACGGTGACCAATTATACTAGGACAACATAAAGAACAGCAGAAGCTATTGTTGGGAGATTTTCTTCTGGGAGATGAATTTACTTTCTAGCTTCTCTTTCAATGTCTTGCCTAAATACTATAATCTAATGAAGTAAAGTTTGCAATTTTAGCAATTGGTCACACACCCGATGTTAAGCCACTGCCCAGATTTGCATTGCATGTTGGGAAGGACAGTGCCTCTGGAGTCAGAGCTACTACTGACAGCTTTATTTGTCAAATTAAAGTACAAGATGTGTGTTTCAGTCAAGTTCACTAATGTCTGTTTCTAATCTACCGTACTTTCATAACTACAAATGTTTTTTAATAAAAATTAAAAAGGCAGAACCAATGGAAATAACAAGAACATCTATACAGTGGTCATTCCCCACTCAGGTTAATACGACTGAGAAGAAACCTCTAACCTCTAGCTGTGGAGAAGTACTACAGCTCTGTAAATGCTTTTCAGTTCCCAGGTGGGAGTGCTAAGCAACCTTTCTCATACCCTTTTCTCCGTTTTCTCTGACTGCAATGCTCTCTGATTCTATTTAGGAGCGTATCTAATTGATTTTTCCAGTTTAGCAAGACTTGCCCCGAGTCATTTCCTATTTCCTCTCTTGCTGTGAACAGAGACACATCTCCGCAGAAGGCCCTTCGGTCCAGCGACAGGCTCCTTGCGCCCAGCATGCTCAGGTCCCACTCTGTCTGGCCAGGATGTCTGCTCCTGCGAGGATTCTGCCTTAATAGAGTCATAAACAAACAAGGAAAGGCACAGAATAACCAAAGAGAGCAAATCCCAAGCTAAGGAAATCTAGCTTCAAAGTCCCTGAAAAATAAACGTAACATTTATGAGACAGTCCTATTTGACACTTTTTAAAAGATTTTTTCATGACATTTTATAAAATAGAAACCTAGCTTCTCATCCTTTGTGTATTGTTTTAAAAAGTTTTATTGTTGAAATTAAACACATATTTTAAGGTGACAAAAAGAATACTGTACATGTGCAGGAGGAGCCTGTATTTCACTAGTCTTAACCAGGTTAAGGATTTTACTGTATCATACATAACAGATAATGAAGCAATAGATATTAATATCTGAAAAAAACATTTAATAAACTTTAATAAATTTTTAATAAACTTCACACATATAAGTAAACTTTTCACCTAATTTTTACAGAGATCTCACTGTCCTTCATGCACTAATTCACTTAGTGCTCAGCCAACAGAGTTCAGCATTATACATACTTTCTGAAGATGAGTACAGGTGGGACAAAGGGGTAGCTTGTAACAACTAAACCTTCTCTCTTAATAACTTCTATCAATCCCTTCAACTGAAAACCACTTCACACAAACCTAAATAAAAGTTAAAACAGTGTGTGTTTTGCAAGCGCAACTTCAGGAAGCAGCCCCTAACTTGCCTTTGCAATTCCCTTTCTAGTTATCACATACAAGGGTGACGGAAGGTCCTGAAGGTCCATTCACAAAGGTCCTTGTTCTCTCCCAGCCTTGTGGGAAAGTTGTACTTCCTGTCATGTCATGTGACTTGCTGTGGCCAATGAAATGAGACCATGAGGGAAATATGTTGTCATTTCTCAGAATTTTTAAGAGGACATTGTCTTGTCCCTGGGAAGTTCATGTCCAAATTGAGCCACCATTGATTTCTAACCCTGAGTGAAAACAATGAGTGGTGCCTCTCCTCTGGCGATCTGCAATGAACACATAGCCTGAGCAAAAAAATAAACTTTTGTCTTGTTAATCCACTGAGATTTTAGGATTTGCTTTACTGCAACCTAACTTAGCCTACCCTAACACACCATCTCATATAGAAACATGAGAGACCCCTCAGGAGACAGTAAAAGTTGGCAAATATTATAACAAATTTATTGAAAATATCAAAAATCAAGGCCGGGCGCGGTGGCTTATGCCTGTAATCCTAGCACTTTGGGAGGCCGAGGCGGGCGGATTGCTCAAGGTCAGGAGTTCAAAACCAGCCTGAGCGAGACCCCATCTCTACCAAAAATAGAAAGAAATTAATTGACCAACTAAAAATATATATACAAAAAATTAGCCGGGCATGGTGGCACATGCCTGTAGTCCCAGCTACTCGGGAGGCTGAGACAGTAGGATTGCTGAGCCCAGGAGATTGAGGTTGCTGTGAGCCAGGCTGACACCACGGCACTCACTCTAGCCTGGGCAACAAAGTGAGACTCTGTCTCAAAAAAAAAAAAAAAAAAAAATCAAATTACCCCCCACCAAATCTATGAAAGTTCTCTTGTTCTTTCATTTTAAAATCTAAAAATCCATTGCTTTCCATTAAAAATAAATTTTTAAATTCTAGTAATGTTTTCCACAGTCATAAGGGTTAAAATAGTATTTAATAGTAATAGTGACAACATTCGCATTTGCACAGCACCCCAAAAAAGTTTAAATCTGTGTTTTGTGTTAATTTCATTATGATTTAAGGAAGTCTGATTGGACGGTTCTCAGTTTTATCATGTGTGTTGTATAGAGAATAATATGACAATTCCAATGTCACACTGACTGAAATGCACTTTGAAAAATAATAGCAGAGTAAGTGAAAATGTTAGACTTAAAGGATTAAAAGGAAGTTAAATACTGTTTCTATCAAAGAGAGAAAATGGTCTTATTTGAGATGCTCAAATGAATTATCTATACTGGGAAAAAAATCCAACAGCTTCATGTTGGACTACTTGTCAGAATCCTAGAAATGTCTAAAAGAAATCATTGGAAGTTAAAGAGCATTAGCTCAAGGTCTCAATGTACACTCACAGGAGATGGCAGGGCTGCAAATTCCAGCTGAATGGTGTGGCTTCATCAGGCCTCTCAGGAAAGTAAAATTACAAAGAAAGTCACCAAGTGCTATCACCTACAAGCTACCAGATATGACAATGTCGCAAAGTGACTGATCATTCCACAAAACCGGACACTAGCGACACTTCTCAGATGGTTTCAGGCAATGTAATTAACAGAGAAATGTGTGAACTTGAGGAAATGCTAGGACCCAGGGTCATCCAATACTACTTAAAATCCCAATAAAAGAAACAATTATACATTCTTTTGGCAAATATTAGCACTATGTAAATGTGTGTGTGTGTGTGTGTGTGCGTGCGTGTGTGCGTGTGTGTTCTTCACAACAGACCATTATCTGACAAGTATTTTTCAAGGACTTGTGTAAAACTTTCTGGACTTGAGAGCATGGATAGTACAAAGACGTTTGAAAACTATCCCATGGTCTACAAAAGTTTACAACCTATGCCAGGACAAGCATTGCCAACCTTAGAGACATGATGCATGTCCTCTAGAATACTTTGGAACCCAACCCATGCTTTGATTATGGTAAAGACTTCATAAATACTTTCTTGAATGAATTAACAATGGTTGATAATTAACCCTCTCAATTTATTTCTTATACATAAAACCACAATTTCCAAAAACTTATTCTTCAGTTTGGATATTCACAAAGCCCCCTGCAATATAATTTCTCTCTACCCCACAGCCTAAAGAATTTGTTTCAGAAATATTGTGACGATTTTATAATAATCCTGATACTCCAATTTAAAGCATATAACCAGAGGCTTATATAACAAAAAAAGTGAATAGTTGAGCTGCAAATGGCCAAGAGGGGAAAAGGAGTTAAAGAGATAATGATTCTAAGTAAGCAACAACATTGAAATAAAATATCCTATAAGGTTTGGAGTCAGCTTATGCTCATTTTCTTGTTAATTAGAGACAGTGATGACAAATATTTGGTAATTTAGTCTTTAACTTGTACAGTCTTTCTATACCTAAAAATACAATAGAGAAAAGTAACATTTATCAAGGTTCAACCATATGACAGATGTTATGTATGTGTTCATATACATGTATATTTATGCTTTTTTCCCCTATTTATTTCTAACACTTGTCTTATGAAAAATAGACATGCTGTCTGGATGTTTTGTTTACAAATAATTAACAAACAAGTAAAACCTACTCAAACCGGTATAAAGGCTTATTATCTCACATATCTAAAAGGTTTGGTTGATTAATTTGTTAGTTCATCAATGTCCTCAAAAACATCGGTTCTGTTCAAATTTTCTTTGAGTCATACTCAACATGTCAGCTTTGTCATCATGGTGTCAGAGGCCATCTCTCTTGTTCCAGATGGGCACAGAAATCTTTCAACAACAAAAGAGAAGGAGTGTCTCTTCTGGTATGTCTTTTCATCAGCAAAAAATTCTGTCATGCCCCACATCTGATTAGTTAGACTGGGTTACATGCTCTTCCCTAAACTTTTCATTGGAAAAAGGAGTGGGGTTCCCTGTGAATGTTTTAGTTGATTATGAATTAGCAGAGATCCAGGGCCTCCTCTCTAAGCACATGGCTATACAGAAAACAGTTGGCAAACAAAGCACAAGGTGAACATGGAGGGTAGAAAACCAAGTGTATTTGCTATAAATATGTTCCTTTTCATGGACAGTCAATAGATTATTCACAAATTGATATCTGCAAATTCATCTACTTGCTAAAATTTATTTTAACCCCAAAGTCAATACTTACTACACTTTTTCCATCATTCATGAATATATGTAGGGGG